AAAAAAAAATGAAATTTTCCTTTGCAGGGAGATTGAATGTGTCATTATCTTCCTCGGTGGGCTTATCCTCACTGAAATCAAAGAATCAACAATTTACATACACTGAAATAGTTAGCATTACCAATAATTTCCAAACCATTATTGGAGAAGGAGGATTTGGAAAAGTATATCTTGGAAACTTGCAAGATGGTCGTCAAGTTGCTGTCAAGTTGTTATCTCAATCCTCAAGGCAAGGTTATAAAGAATTTCTAGCGGAGGTAACAATTTAGTTAGCTTTCTCCTTTCCTATAGAGGACAAGAGAGGTGCACCAAATATTTTCTTTCAGCTATGACAGAGTAGTGTTTTCAAATGCAGGTCAAACTATTGATTATTGTTCATCACAGAAACTTGGTGTCCCTCGTTGGTTATTGTAATGAGCAAGAAAATATGGCACTTGTTTATGAATACATGGCAAATGGGAACTTGAAGGATCAATTTTTAGGTATTTATAGAATTACTCTCTGAAATATAGAATTCTTCAATTTTTTTGGGACACTAACTAGTTTATAGATAGAACTCTCACTAAGATTTATATGAATTTATTATTGTTAGAGTATAATATGAATCATATATTGAGATATTACCTAGTAATTTAAATTTTTAGGTTGAAATAATTGTTTGACATGATATCAGAATCTTGATAACGAAGTGGTCACGAGTTCAAATCTTACCACCCTTATTTCATTTGATAAAAATTAAGAATAAGATAATATAGATATGTGTAAGTAGAATATGTTAAAGAATAATTTAAATCATATCTTAGAATCCCACTCAAAAATTTAAATTTTTAGGTTGAAATGATTGTTTGTTTGTAATCATCTAATACTATTGATGAACTTATATGTGTAATGAAACATAATTCCTGTTGTATTCATCACATTGCAAAGTTTATTGTTTGATTTATGATATTAATGTGTTTTTGTGGCTGCAGAAAATAGCACAAATATGTTGAATTGGAGGGCAAGGCTGCAAATTGCAGTAGACGCAGCACAAGGTCTGACTCTAGTGCCTGAGTCATTTTTTCTTCATTGTTGTTCTGCAAACTTTGTTGGATTAACTGGCATTATCGAACTCGCAGGTTTGGAATATCTGCATAATGGTTGCAGGCCGCCAATAGTCCATAGAGATTTGAAATCATCCAACATCTTATTAACTGAAAACCTTCAAGCCAAGATTGCTGATTTCGGGCTGTCCAAAGCCTTCGCAACCGAAGGAGACTCGCATGTCATAACTGATCCTGCAGGCACGCCCGGATACATTGATCCTGAGTACGTATTCAAACTTAATGTTAATCTTCTCTCACAGTGTTTGTTCTCCTAGAATAATTATCATTATATTCTGTATGCAGATTTCGAGCATCAGGAAACTTTAATAAGAAAAGTGATGTTTACAGCTTCGGTATTCTTCTGTGTGAGCTATTAACTGGTCAACCGCCTTTAATAAGGGGCCATAACGGCCACACTCACATACTTCAATGGGTGAGTCCTCTAGTTGAAAGAGGGGATATCCAGAGCATTATCGATCCAAAGCTGAAAGGTGAATTCAACACTAATTGTGCTTGGAAAGCTCTGGAGATAGTACTGTCCTGCGTGCCCCCGACTTCAACACAAAGGCCAGACATGAGTGATATCTTGGGAGAGCTAAAGGAATGTCTGGCCATGGAGATGTCAGCTGAAATGAGCATGCGCGATTCCGTCAAAATTAGCTTGGTGCTTGGCACAGATATGGCTCCAAATCTTAGGTAGTTAATAAACAATAACGGTTTGTTTGTTGTTAAAACCTCTACGGCTTGAACTGAATTTATATATGCATAAAACATTATTATAGTATAAATTTACCCTCGACATCCTTCCTTAAACCTATCTCTAGATAAGTCCTAGAAAAGCTCTTAATTTGAAAAAATCTTCACATTTCGAAACCTTTGTAAGAATATTTGCAACTTGATTTAATGAACTTCACATAACTTAGTCACACCTCTTTTTTTCTTATGCAGTCTCTAACGAAGTGATATCCGCTGTTTACATGCTCATTTCTCTTAATAAAAAGTGGGTTTTTTTCTAAAATAATTGTAGACTTATTATCAACAAAAATCTTTATGCTTTTGTCTTGACACATGTCCATTATCTCTAAAATTCTCTTTAACTACACACAAATATAAAAAATCGTTGCCACGTATTCTGCCTCACAAGCAGAAAGACTGAAGAAAACAATGCCACATAACCATCAAACTACTCCTAGCTGACAAATCCACCACCACAACCCATACCAGCCCATTGATGACCATCCTTTTCTTCCCTCTAAATCCGCAATTAGTGATCATCATCAGACCCGATCCACTCTGAAATAAACCACCATCACAGTACCACAATCATAACCTTCTCCACTCACAAACCTGATCCATACTTAAATAAACCCCACAACAAACACAACTCGACTCGTTAAACAACCTCCTCCTTCATCATGACAGCCCACATAGATTATCCTAGTACATATAAAGAGGGAGAGAAGAAGTTGTAAAGAAAAATGAACATGATAGTTCTAAACCCCCTGTTAGCGAAGGTGGAAATCAATACTCTCCGATGAATTGGAAAAATGGTAGTTTGTATGTGAATGTGTGTTTGTTGTGCAAGCTTAGCGAAATAAAAAAGGATATTTTTTTCCAACATATAAATTTATTTTGATGAATAAAATGGTAGTTTATTTTGTATAAATAGAAAAAAATGAGTTTGAATTTTCCCCTTATTTAAGTAATTTTGTGTGTATATATATATATCTTGTTGTAACAGGAAAGCCCCGAATGTGGTGACCGTTTATGACAGCACATGTGTTTGCCTATTGGTTGAAATTTGTGTGATTGATTTTCCTTATTTTTACACCATCGAGATATGAGGTTTTATTTAGTGATTCTATATTTAAATATTCATCTTCCATCAAGTTTTGGGTCACGATCATGAACCCATGCAAGCCATATAGGTTTTCATGGCTACGTCCTCGCAGAATAGAGGTTTATAGCCATAGAGGTTTACATTTTATCATGAGGTTTCCAGGACTTGGGTTTACGGGAAGGGTGGCTGATTGTAAACAATTAAGCTCTGAAAGAGGTTTTCAAGGCCTAGTTTTATAGGAACCGTGGCTAGTTGTAAATAATTACGGTCTAAATAATCTTAAAATTTTATTTGTTTGTTAGAAAATAATATTTTTTTTTTTGTAAAAAGTAGTTTTTTTAAAGTTAATTTTTAAAAAGTGAATTTTTTTATTTAATAATATCATGAAAAATAAATTGAAAAATACTTTACAGTATTGGTTATATCATGAAAAATGATTTGGAAAATAACTTATTAATATTTTATCTTTTTTTTTCAAGTTTATTAAAATAACAAGAAATAAATCTTACAAATTAAAAAGTTGAATGAGAATGAAAATGAAAAAAAATTAATTTCATAAATTATCTCAAATAAAATAAATAACAATCAAAATAATAGAGATCCAATCTAACAGATAAAAAAATTAAAAGATGATAAAATTAAAATAATAATAATAATAATAATAATAATAATTTTATTAATTATTTCAAATAAATGAGTAACAATCAAAAGAATGAGAATCAAATTTGATAGATAAAAAATTTTAATTAAAAAAAATGATAAGAGAAAAGTAAATAACAATCACAAAAAAAAGAACCAAAATTAATATAAAAATCAAATTCTACAACATGAAATTAAAAAACAAAAGATGCAAAACAAAATATATAGTAATAAAAAATTTGATGATGAAATTTGATTTATTCAAAAAATAATATGATATTTCTAATTTTTTTATAATTTTTAGAAAGTATTTCCATCTAAAATAAAATTTTTTTTTTATAGAAACTTAACCAATTTTTTTAATTAAAAAGTGTTTTTTATTGGCTAATTTTTCTAATAACAAATAAACACATGAAAGTTTAGAAAGTAATTTTCAAGAAACTACTTTCTGTGCAAACAAATACCCTCTAAATTTAAAATAAAAAGATGTTATTTGGGCTAGTTTGTTATTTTTACTTTTTATTTTTGAGTTTTCTAATTTCTTCATGACTTTTACTATTTTTAGATTTCTTAGTAGGTTTGGATCAACTTTTAAATCTATTTAAGTTGTAATTTTTTTAAAAATATTTAATAATAAAACTATAAATTAAGGTTTTTGATAGTGATCATATTCAACATAAATTTTTGTTGCTTATAATTTTTTTTTTATTGTTTCCTGTGTACTAAAAGAGATTAGTCATGTACTGTAGCGCATGAGAACTTTTAATTGTGGATTTCAATAGTTGAATGGCTGTTCTGCCGTTTGTTTTGGTTGGTAGAAAGCTAATGCAGTATATGAGATCAGGCACCGGGCTTTTGGCGTGTTTGAGCATCTGCAATGGAAGTTATTTTTAAGAGGTAAATTGATAAAATAGTATTTTAAATAGTATAAATATAGTTTTTTTTACTATGTATATTTTAAGTGAAAAAAAATATTTGGAAAATCTAATTTTATTAGAGTAAAATAAATAAGTTTTTTTATTTTTCTAAATAATTTTAATGTTATTTTTTTCTTTTCAAATAGCTAGATTTAATTGGCTTATTTTTTGTTGGCCTCACATTGTTAATTTTGACTCTTTTAAAAAATATATAAAAATAGTATTTATATATAAAAAAATATTTTAGTATTTTATTTGACTCTTGTTTTAAAATATAGAAAACAATAAAAAAAATTAAAATATTAATTTTTTATTTTTAACTACTCATTTAGCTTCTCCATGTAGATGCTCTTAGGCTTTCACACGTGGATTCAGATTTTGCAATAAATTTAATTGTTAAATAACTGATTTGCCCTTGGTTTGTGAGGGGTGCTGGATGCTTTCGGGAGGGTATTTAGGGTTCTTTGCTTAATTGTGGGTCTTGAGGGCAGTTCTTTCTTGTTCTTTGTATGCACGTGGTGGCTTCTCTGCCACATTTTCTTCTTTTTTATCTTTTTTAATTAGAAAGGAAAACAAGGTTTCACATTACTAAGAAAACATTAAGTAATACTGCTTTTCCATGCCTTTTAACTTTCCCTACTTTCCCTATTATTTTTCTATTCCCCCCACCTTTTACTTTCCCCCTTATTTCCCCATTATTATTATTATTATTATTATTATTATTATTATTATTATATTATAACATATATATTTGTTTTTAATTTATTTTTTATGATTTTATGGTTTTTTTCTTTGTGTTTTTTTCTTTTAATGAATTTTTTTTGTTTAATTTAGTTTGTTAATGGTAAAAAAACTTTTATTTAATTATCAGACTTTTATAACTTGGATCCCGAGTTTGATCAATTAACCTGGTTTGACGAGTTAATCCGGAATTTTATTTTTTTTCTTTTTAATTAATTTTTTTCATTTATTTTAGTTTGTTAATGTTAAATTTCTTTCTATTTAATTATCAGACTTTCTTAACATGTATCCCGAGCTTGACAGGTTAACCTAGTTAATTAAGGGTTAACCCGTCATTATTTTTCTATCAAATTTTCATGACGTGAATCTAAGGTTTGACTGGTTAACCTGATTTGAAAGGTTAATCCAGTTAATTCGGATTTTTTTTTCTTTATTAGTTTTTTGTCTTCCTGTTGGTTTTTTTCTTTATTTTTTTCTTTTTAATTAATCTATTAATTATCACACTTTTATGACACGACTTTACAACTAGACTCATATCTAAGGCTCTTGGGTCCAGTGTTGCAACTAGACTCACTTAAACTTGAGTCATGTAAGTTTAATATTATTATTAATATTTTAAATATTACTCTTGGATCAAGCATTGCAACTAGACCAAAGATTCTTGAGTATATTTTTGCAAAAAGACATAATACTCCTTGATCTTAGCCTTTTCTTATATTTTTTATGTAAGAAAAAAAACCCGTGGCGTAAGCCTTTGTTTCTTTTTTTTCTTCTTTTTATGTTTTGTAATTATTCTTTTAATTGAGTTTTTTAATATTAATTTTTTTTTGTTTAATTATCAAACTTTTATGATACGGATCTTAGATTTGACAGGTTAACCCAGTTGATTCAGATTGTTTTTCTTTTTCATCATTAGTTTTATTCTTCAGATTTCATCTTTTAATATTGTATGCAGTCCATGGTGAAAGACATAAAAAAATAAAGATAATTAACTTTTTTTTATTTAATTTTTTGATATTAATTTTTTTCTATTTAATTATTATACTTTCATAACACGGATCTCAGGTTTGATGGATTAACCCAGTTAATTCAGATTTTTTTTCTTCATTAATGTTTTTCTTTATATATGTTTTTTTTCTTTGGTTTTTTTAATTAATCTATTTAATTATTATACTTTTACGACACAACCTTACAACTAGACCCACATCCAAGATTATTGGGTTTGGTATTACAGCCAGACACATATAAACTTAGATCATTCAAGTTTAATGTTATTATAAATATTATTTTTGATTCAGGTATTATAGTCAAATTCAAAATTCTTGGATATAGCTTTATGAGAAATCCAAACACTTTTAGAACTTAATTTTTTTAATATTTTTTATATAAAAAAATTAACTCGCGGCATCACGTGCTGGGATATATAACTAGTTATAAACTATATATAGTGGTGGCTTTACAAAGTAGCGATTGAATTTGCTGGGACACGTAAAGAATCAAAGAGCTCTTATATACGAATAAATTAGTTAGAGAAATAATTTAAATTAAAAGATAAAAAACGTTGAACTAGTATGCTGAACTTAATATATGTTTCCATATTAAAATAAGTTTGGACCTAAATTAATAAAAGACAAGACTTAATTATGAATTTAACCAGGTGAATATTATTTATGAGTTATGAAGTTTGGATTAGAAGAAAGAAAAGACATGTTATAGGAAAGATCCATACTTGTATAAGAAATTAATTA